GGTTGAGCTCATCCTAGGCTCAGCTCAAGGTAACATCAGGATCTTTGACAAGTCCATAAAGGAAAGTGAGTATATGACAAGGGATCTCGACTTCCAGTATAGGCAGAGAATGTTCTATGATGCGATTCAAGAATCTCTAGTCTGAGTCAGAGTTTAATAAAGAAAGAGTTTCCAATTGTGCTCAAATCGAATCATATAGTCAAGAAAGATCACTTTAGGGATTTGACATGACATTATGTATTATATTAACGAGATCAAGAACATTGATAAAAGAGAAGGATCGAATTGTGTTTCAATTCCAACTAAATAGGTTCTCCTAATATATTCTATATTAGCTTGGGTAGACGTCACTCACTGTTTGTGGAAGTCCTGAGGACATTCCATAACTGGGTCCTCATCAAAGGGATAATTAAAAGGAGTTTTAATTCACAGTTGATAAAGAAAGAATTCAAGATCGCCCACAGTCTCTCTAATTAGAACACAATCGTTCACACGCATAAGTTTGTAATTTGGATAATAATGGAAGATGACGAAATCAACTGTTAATTAGATTAATTGATTAAAGAGAAAATTAATTAAATAGGTAATTAATTATGTTGAAATAAAATGGGCCTTGAGATGGTTTGAGAAACTAAAGGCCAATGGGTTTTAGCAAACTAGGCTTTAGAACAATGAAGTGGGATAACTTGGACCAAGTGGACCACATCCCCTAGTGTCATCCATAGTGAAAAGGAGAAAGCCTTAGGGTTCTCTCATGTGCTTTTATAAAAGCACATTTTTACTTCATTTCTCCTTAGGGTTTTGAGTTTGCAAAGAGGTAAAGAGGAAGTGAGAGTGAGCATCAAATCTCTCACATCCAAGCTAAAACCTGTCCATCAAAGAGGTATTGCTAGCACCATTTTTGTTTCGTCATCCATTCCAAAAGAATAGCTTGGTGTGGAGTCTTTGGCGGTCACTATTTTGTTACTTGGAGAAAAAGAAGAAAGTGGATTCTACCACCATCCTTTTGGTGGAATACTTAGGTCGGTCTCAAGTTGCGCTACAAGGGTGAGTTCCCCTCTATCTTTCTCTCCTCACTTTCTTGCAAAGTAATTAATGTAGCACATCAACCTTCTTGAGGTTTCTTGCAAAGTTTTCTTGTAACATTGTGTTTGTTGATTAATTTATTGATCACAAATATATTTTCTAATGCTTTTCAATTTGTGTAATTTTTTTTTTT